CCCCACCTACTTCGGTTGCAGCCTTCCCCGCTTGTTAGCAATAGCAACGCCCCAACCCCTCAATCCTCTCTCGCTCCTTCGTCTATAGAATTGGATGGCCAGCGCATCCGTCAGCAGGCAAGGCAATCTCGAACGAATCTTCCCTTCGGCCATGGTCAGGTACGTGTGCCTTTCCCCTCAGTTATCGGCCACCCCCGACCCTCCCGACCTTAGCAAAAGCAAAAAAGAGATATTGAGAGTAGGCCCGCCCTCAACTACRTGCGGACATGTYGAAAGGGAATCCRGGCAGGAGTATAGAGTAGGACATACAACATCGAATGAATCTGCCCCTAAGCGTGGGTAGATTCATTCCGCGCTCATACAACTGCGTACCACTCCCCCGACGCATCTGTTTTTCCCACTAACTCTAGTTCTACTAACCCTTCTCCAGAAATGACCTTATCAATCAACTCGCCCACAGTTAAAACTTCCAAAATGACCCTTTCCTCGCTCCATTCCGTAAAGGAACGAGCGAGATACTTATCTTTCGTTCGCTCCTAAACTTACTTCCGATGACCACTGCGCAGCCTATTCTCTACTAACCTTCTAACCCACTAACCCATAGTCGAATCTAACTCCATCATCTAACTCGCCCCACCTCTAACCCTCGCATTTGCATCTTTCCGCATTCGATTCTTTCATGAATCGAGCGGGATATCCCTTCTTCCCATTGCCGTTCCACCATAGCCTCTTGCACCCTCTCTCCTAAATCCGACCGCAGAATCGGGGTCGCGAGCACCAAAAACCCCGATCTAGCACTTTTCCCCGCCCGCTTCTATCAAGAATCGAGCGAGGAAAGTGCTTCTCCCTTCCACCATGTCCATCTCCTCCCCCTTCAACGTTGAATGCACCTCGCGCGGTCTTGCGCCCAGGTTCATTTATGGGTTTTTCCTTCCTCTTTCAACGCCCGTCGCATCCGTTCCAGCGTCCGGTCGACTTCTTCGCTGTCGCCCGTTCCCTGCTCAGTGCTTCGTACTCCTGCTGCTCGTCTCCGCTCTACCGTAACGCTCCGCCCGTCTGCTGCACGGCGCTAGTACCTGTTGCTCCCCTCTCCGAATTACCACGGCTCGACAACGCTCAAGTGTCAGCAAAGGACAACAAAAAACAAAACACTTGGCTGTCGGGCCCTTCCCCGACTTATGCCTATCATCCTTGCGTCGGGGCCATGCTAATCTTTTCTGTATCATTCCAATTTTAACGGATGTCCCGAAGGACTCAGTCAGGGCGATGCCCCCCCCTGGCATTACCAAAGGCCGCCCGACCGTTTCAGTACCCCCGCGGCCCTGAAAAAATGGCCCGGGGTAAGCCAGGATACAGGTCCATGTTTTAGCAGTTCATGGCTGCGCCCCGTTGGGCTAAGCCCTTGGGGCGTGCCATGCCCTCGACACCGCGGCGCGGCCGCACTAACAGTCTGTAATTGCACTTCCAACAATTCTCGGAATGCAACACACCCCATGCGCTCCTACCGCAGTCCCGCGTCCCAAAACGGGACGCGGTAGCAAAAGGGACCCAGAACAATACCCGAAAAAAGGACTAAAATAAAATAAGGGTAACGTCGGGGAACCGCGCGATCGTTGCATCCCTGCCATCACCGCGGATCGGGCCCGCCGCCGCGCCTACTAACAAAACCAAAGGGGATAGCCCCGTCGGGCCCTCAACCCCTTTGGCTTGGCCCCACGCTACTCCGCTGCCGTCGCACCGACGCCCGCTGGTCTCATTCCCCGAACCTTCATAGTGACAGCCCGCTGCCGTAACCTATAGGGCTATGCCCAAGCCTGAGACCAAAACACGCAGAGTACCATACAAGACGGTGCGGTGCGGCACTTTGGGCCAACAAAACGGCTGCGCGGCTCCCAGTGCCCGCATTGGCTTGCTTATACCATGCCATAATTGCCGCTCGCGTCATCCTACTACATCCTTCTCACCGCACGAAATCGCGCCGTTATTGCCGATGCCGTCGTCGGGGTCGTTTCTCCGCACGCGCGCTCGACTCGGTAAATATGTACCAATCAAACGAAAATATCCTTAATTCCTGCTTAATTAAAAATAAATAAATAATGATAATATCACCAAGCAAAACGACCGGGGTCTGGGCCGGCTTTGCGATCAACAACAGAAAAGAATCACGCGCGCCTTAAACCTGCGCGCCCACGCACTCGCCATTGTGGTCAACCATCCTGTCAACGTAAATCACATATGCAGCCACGCGTAGCGCGGTGTACTCAAACTTTAAACAAGAACTACTTTCTTGTCACTCGCAAAGACTAGGGCGGATACCCTTGTAAGGGTATTCGCGCCGACAGCTTACCGGACCATATTAAGCGACGTCCCCGTCGCTTCGTCAAATCAGAAAGCTATAAATCCACCCACACTCCAAATGTTGATGGAAAACGAGTCAATCTGATTAGCCGACAAACACAGGGTAGAGACCTTCATCAAACCATGCCTTCACAACTATATGCTGCCAGGTGTCTAACCTGGGCCTCTCACCGCCCAGAAATTAGGACTCTCACCGCATAAGTTCCAAAGACCTTCCCAATCGTCCTCTCCCTGGTCCTAGACAACTTTCGGCTTCTCGTTGGGTGTCCCTAGTCCTGGCAAAGGCTAGGGACGCGGGCCTTGATCGAGACCTTTTGAAGGCACTCTCGCCTTTCTTCTCAAAAAATCCTTCACAATCAAATATATGTAATTATATATGTATACTTTATATTCGCTCAGCTCTTTCTGCAGTCTAGTACAGAAAGGCTAGGTCTCCACCTTGGCCCACCATAGCCTGGCTGATCGGACTAGGACCACGGCCCACCGCATTGTTATTTACCGGCAGTACCCTCGTTGGTTACGCAACGATAGGTTCTCTCCTGATTAAATATCCAATCAGGATTTCCCCCAAAAATTCTCAACCATCACTATCCCGCGGAGTAATTTCACGGGGGCGGGCACCCCCCCTTAAACTCTTACCCACGCGGTCCCGCAGCCAGGTTGCGCCGGCTAGCAACCATCCAATGGGGTTATGCCCTAAAGGTACTAACTTCTTTTCCGTTAGCTTGGCCTTTCTTCAATATGTCTCAGAATTTGCACCAGTGGTTAGGCGGGGGCGTCGCAAAAGAGAATCACTGGCCCACTGGGCGATACGTAGGGGTCCGAAGGCATTTACCAACACTCCCTCAATAGGCATGGCATCCTTCGTACGCTTACAAACAAAATCAGCGCTAAATCCACCAGGCCGTGACCCCTGACTTGATCAGAGTCAGCAGCCACTCACCCTGATACATCTCTCGCCCTGCACTCATTGCGACTTTCTCAAACATTCCAAACAAAAATGACTCTTTTCGTCAGACTTTATCACCCATCAAACAACTCGCCATGCCATAAATTAGTTTACTCACCTCTTAGGGTGAGTCTTCCAACCATAGACCATTTTCCTTTTCCAAAAATCCAAGGGGCTCTCATCATAAATAAAACACCCCCTCTTCCAAAAATCACGAGGGGTCTCGCCACAGAACAAAACACTCCCTCTTCCAAAAATCACGAGGGGTCTTATCATAACCCACATTGTCACAAAAGCATCCCCTTCTCCAAAATCCAAGGGGGCTTATCATAAACAAAATCACTGAGAGACCATCTTATGGGTCCTCATCACAACTTAGGCATTCAATAATCAACATGATAGGCATTTTGAGCCTCCTGGGTTCATAAATCTTCAAAATCCTCACAACCTTTCACAGACGGACTGCACTTCCTCCCCTTATACTCCGCCCTATCAGCTGCCCATGGGCAAGTCGCACAAGTATACCGAGGAGTAAACAGTTTTACTTACAACCATATTCACAATACCCAAGATACATAAAAAAAATTTCACTCATTGTCCACACAAACTCATTATACATCAGAGTACAACCACACATGTGAGAGAGACAAGTGATCGTCACATATAAGAATGGTCCCTGAAAAAAACCTCATCATGATATACACTTAGGGAAATAAAATGTCTCACACAGAAAAAAATGTCTCGAAATCATAACTCACTCAGCTCAAGCCACACCAAACCCACACTGACAACTACCCCTAGAATACATGTCAGATCTGTCTCTCAAAAGCCAGGGCGTAAGCCACCTATAATATGTACATGCCTCATCTAGATTACCCTGATCCTCAAGATCCCAGCTCAGTAGGAACACTAGAGTTCAGATCTAGACTAGTAACAATCCTCATAAAAGCCCTCTAGATCTAAGAGGGTATCACACAGAACCTAAACTGATGTCTCACAAGATACTCGCCCACTTATATAGACAAATCGACCCTACCTCTTCAACTCCTCCTGGTTTTGCCTATATAACTGAGCCCTAAGTCCATCTGCGGACTTCTCTACTATTCTACCCTGCCTATCATACATCCTACCCCCTGCCTCTGAGACCTTTCCTTCTGCCTTATCCTCAAGGAACTCGAGACAGTCCAGAGCATGATGCACATACCTCTTGCAGTAGAAACATAGTTGATCGACCTTCCTCTTGAATTTCTTCTTCTTGGGCTGAGGAGGTGATGATGAGGGAGATCCTACCAAGGTACTGACAAACCCCTGCTGCTCTGTCCCAGGAGCTGCGGTACTAACGACCTCCTGCTGCTCCATTCCAAGAACCGGTCCCCCAGACCCAGATCCTGTAGCCCAAAATCCCAGTCTGCTCCTCAAATCCCCTATCACCGGGACGTACTCAGGTGTGTCCAACCTCTGAGGTCTCTTCTCGAGTGTCTCTCCTGGCACTGTCATGGGATGCTCCTCAATCTCCTCTGGGCCATACTCAGGCGTGCCCATCCTCTGGAGCCCGCTCTCGATGGCACCCTCCGCCTCAATCCCTATCTCTCTCTCAAGAGGCTCCTCCATCCTCTGCTCAGGTGAAAACAAACTCACCTCCTCCTACATAGTATGCACCGCCTCAAGGAGCACGCCCATGAATCCCTCTGCTGAGCCCTGAGCCGGCTCACTGCTAGATGGTGGCAGCCCCTCCTCTACTGCCAAAGACACGAATGGGTCTGCCGCCGCCACTGGCAGTGTCGCAAGCTCGGTAGGAGCTCTGAACTCGAATGCCTCTCTCTCCGCCTGTCTCTGTGCTCTCGCCTCCTCTGGCTCCAGGATAACCCTCCCCATAGGTGGCTCCTGGTGAGGCTCTGCCGCAGATGGCTATCCTGGCAGTCCCTGTCCTGGCTGCCTCTGCTCTTCCTGCCGGCTGCTCTCTGGTCTGTCCACCTTTCCTTGGGTTTGCTGCCTCAAGCTCTCGATGATAGCTGCCTGGCTGGCCACCAATGCCCTGAGTTCCGGGATTTCCACCTCCATAGCCTCCAGGCGTACTCCATGGCTTGCTTCCTTCATCTTCTTCCCTACCAGATCGCCCTCCAATAACAAGTGCCGATCAAAAGTGGTCTTAGCCAAAAACTTGATTTTACGATCTAACCTCTCTTCCGCCTTCCTGGCTACCCCAAACCCGGCTCTGACTGGCGATGGAAGCTCCTCTCCTCTCTGCTCCCAGAAGTCCCTCCACATCTCAGGGATCTCCGGGGCCCTAGCTGGTGCACTGGGTGGCTGACCTGGGAGTGCTCCTGCTGCCTCCGATCTTTGCCCCTCCTCCTGCCCCCGCTGCCTCCAACCTCTGCCTCTCTTGCCATATCTCGTCTATCCGCCTGGTTCTTCTCGCCCTCTTTTCTTCAGCCGTCTCTCCAGCGGGCGCCCTTTCCCTCGTGCGGAGGTCGACCCTCTTTGGGATCTCTGCTTCCATCTCCTTCTCGGGCTGGCACGGCTCCTGGCGCGGCTCTGCAGGTGCTGGCTCCTCCAGGTCTGGGTGCTCCAGGGCATAAGCTGCTAGGTGCCTATCAATCAGGGTCAAGGCTTCCCTCCTTACAGATGCCCTTTCTCTTCTCCTTCCTGCTCTCCCCTCTAGCGAAGGAGCCTTTTCTGATGAAGGAAATGGGACCTCCTCACTCTGCAACCTCTCCTCTGCCTGGCGAGTGCTTCCTGGTGCATCCCCGAGTCTCAAGCCCACTGCTGGCGTCTGTGGGGGCGTGTCCTCTCCAACCTCTATCACTTCCTTCCCTGCACGTCTCCCCACATCGCCTAGCCCTCTCTCTCGCTGAGTATCCTGAACCTCCCGCGACACCTCCTCTCGTGGCACCTCCTCTTGTGGCACTTCCTCTGCCTGCTCTCCACGCTTCTCACCCCGAGGCGACGCCCTCCACTGAGAGATATCCAAATGCGTCACCAACTCCTTCAAGGGCCCCTCAGATGCTGGCGGCTCCTCCTGTGCGCGTGCTGGCGACCTCCTCAATCCACCCTCGGTAAACTGATGGAACTCCACTGGTCCCAACCTACACTCAGGGTATGCCCCTCGCTCCTCAGCGTCTGGCTCTGGCTCTGGCTCCTCCTCTCTCCTGGCTAGGGCCTTCCGTCCTCCTCGAGACGGTCTCGCCTCCCTGGGCTCAGGGTCCCTCAGCCTCTGACTCCTCTGACGCCTCTCAACTCTGGGCTGAGTGGGCTCTGGTCGTCGAAAGGCTTCTCTCAGATGCGCCCTGCAGCTCTCCCAGTCTCGGGCTATGTCCCTGACCTGCGTAGCCAGTGCCCTCTCCGCCTTTCTGGTCCAGAGGGGTAACGTCCTTGCCCACTCATCTCTTGGTATACCCTGCCCCTGCATGAACCACTCGAAAGCAGGGATGAAGTCTGCCACGTTTTCAATCTCTAGACGGATCGGCCTGCCATCTGGTCCCACAGGCGAGGGTCGCAGCTCCTGCATCCTCCACTCCACCTCTGATCTCGTCGTCGCCTCTCTACGGATCCGCGCGACGGGCTCCTCGAATCTGCCGACTCCCCTCAGTCCCTCGATTGCCTGAGTCACGGTCCAGCCCATACGCCTCGCATGATCCCAAAAGGTGTCCAGGAATAGCTTGATGTCCCCATCATCGTATACCGGAGTACTCTCTCGATGGCGAGACCCATGTCGCTCATATCCTCCTGATGCTCCCAACGGCCTCCAAGGCGGCCGTGTCTCCCTCCCTCCTCTTGGCATGGCTGTCTTCGTAAAGTCAGACCTGCACAACAGGCGAAGGAGACAACAGACACACATTGGGGTAAGCAAACAGGTGATAATCAAGCAAACTCAGACAAACCCACACTCATACAGCATGCATCCCACCTAACCTACACACCCTGCTACTTCTATTCTAAAGGCAGTCAGGTCGTCTCTCTTACCTCTTCTCTCGCCACAAATTTCTTCAGTCGCATTCCAGATACCCAATCCTTCCACTTAGTCTCATTTAGCTCCTCAATCTGGTACGCCCCGAAGTCTCCGACCCGTACGATCCGGTAGGGACCTAACCACCTCTTATCGAGCTTCTTGGACCACTGCTTCTCCAGTGATGAATCGTAGAGAAGCACGACATCTCCCACTGCCGAGGGTACTTTCCTCACCTGCGCAGACTGATCCCATCGAGCCTTATCATCCATACGGCTCCTTGCCACCTGATCATACGCGTCCTGGATTCTTTCTTCTATCGCCCCTACCTGCCGTGCCCGAATATCGAGCAACTCTTCAAATGACAGGTTAACTTCCAGATCCTGGCGCCTCCATGTCTTAAGAAAGCTTTCGATAGGGAAGGTGGCATGCCTTCCATACCACAACGTCGCCGGTGCGTACTTGATGGATCTTTTTACTGTAATATTCTCGACAAAGAAAGGTGCCCTTAGGTATCTTGGTCATTGATTAGGTCTACCTTCGGTCCACCTAGCCAAGAGACTCATAATGGTACTATGTCCTCTCTCCACGGGAGCATTTGCCTGGGGGTGCGCGACCGTGGTGTAGTTGGCTGCCACACCATACCTTGATAAAAGTTCTTGCACCTCCTGGCAAGTAAACTCCGATCCCCTGTCCATTACGAATTCCCTGACGAAAGGATAGCGTAGGTAATACTCCTCGATGCAGCTCACCAGGACTGACCCGGTCTTTGTGCGAATAGCACGCCCGTCAACGAAGCCAGATAGGTTATCGCGCGCATCGAAAATATAGTTTTAGCCCTGGTCCCCAAGCGGCATAAAAAGTAGATCGAGATGCACTACAACCCCCACCTCTCGCTCTAGCCTTGGATGCAGTGACTCTCCTTGCCTTAAACGGGATCTTTCCTGGCAAGGTACGCAAGATCGGCAGAACTTCCCGACCATATCCATCATCCCATCTCAGTAGTACAGCTCACTTATCTTGGCATACGTGGCTTGTACCCCTCGATGCCCTCCTGCAATGCCATCGTGAAGCGCTGCGACGACGTCGATCTGACGATTCCTACCGTAGACGTCTCTCCTGGGATTCCCCACTTCTCTTCTCACGAAAAGGTGGCCGTCTCGCACTAAGTAGCGCTGCAGTATCCTCTGAGCCCTATCGCTTGCATCCCTTAGCCGTATTTCATATGACAGAAGAAGCCCCAACTCTAGGTAGATCCCGTCGTACTCCTCTGCACAAAAAGCCTCCTTAATTTCCCCTTCCTCGAACTCGTCGTCCTGGCTCTCGGGCACTTCGTCCACATTCCCTGCCGGGTTCAACGAGCCTGACTGGTCTAGGCTTTCCTGCAATTACGTATTGACGAGGAGATACATTCCGCCCATCAGGTCCTCATGCCGTTCTACCTGGCAAGGTCCTTCCTCAATCGTCCTCATATCCTCCACCAGGCTATGTGAGCTGGCCAGCGCTAGCTCCATCATCAACTGAACATCCTTACCACCCCAGTGATCCTCTTCATCAAAGGGCTTAAGGACTAACTCATCCCTCCGTTCATACCCACTTGGCGTTTGCCAAATAGGATAGCCTACACAGTTGGGCACTCGCGGCGACCACTTATTGATGTAGAGACGAACATCTTCTTCCTGATCTAGAAATCCATCAACTGGAGGCGTATTCTCCACCGCCTCCCCTTCCTGTTTATCCCAGTTGATCCTACTCAGCCCGTCCGCCCGGTTCTTACTGCCAGGTATCCGTTCCAATTCGAAATTGAACATCCAAATGTACGTCAGCCATCTGGCAACCGTCGGATCTGATGGAACGTAATTCCTTAGAGAGTAGGCCAGGGCGGTCGGATCCACTCTGAAAATAAACCTCCTGCCGAAGATGTAGTTTTGGAAGATTCGCAGACAATGGAGGACGACAAGGGTCTCCCTCTTGAACTGGGAGTAGTTCCTCTCCGTCGTACAGAGAGTCCGGTTCTCAAATCGCAAGGGCCTTTCCTTTCCTTCCATGTCTCCCTGAATTAGAACTCCCCCTAAAGCAGTCGGCCCCGCATCCGTTTCGACAATGAAGGGTCGCGTCTCTGTGGCGTCATAATCTGACGCTCCTAACACCAACCCTCCTTCTCGAAATTCTTCCTTCATTCTGGCTACCACCTGTTCTTGTTCTTCACCCCAAACCCATTCCTGGTCCTGACGAACTAACTTCCTCAGATGTTCAGTCTTAGCGGCAAAATTATTGACGAAGACCCTCCAAAATCCACACGTACCAAGGAAGCTTCTGACATCAGTTACTGAGTGGAACGGGACTAACCACTCAGTAATCTTGTCCGTCTTCTTCACATCCGGCCTCCGACCCTTCTCGCTGCAGATGAACCCCAAAATAGTCGCTTCCCTCGTGCAGTGTCTGGATTTGGCCCCGCTCGCCGTGAGGTTATGCTCCTCGAGCAGGCTCAGGACTTTTTCAAGGTCCTGGATATGCTCCCAAACAAAGCGCCTTACCCCTGACAAGACTTCATCGCTCTCCTTCACTGTCGGCCCCTTCACTGCCAAATCGTCGATGTATGGCTGTGTAATATGGGGGCTGACTGACTGCATAACCCGAATCATGGCCCGTTGGACCATTGCTACCGCATTGGTCCACCCTTGAGGGGCCACGTTCATGCGGATTAATCCTCGCGGCGTATGCATAGCCGTCACTGGCCTATCTGGCGGGTAGACCGGAAACTGATCGTATTCTGAGTAAAGGTCTATAAGCGAAATTATAGGCCTTCCAGCACAGGATTCCGACAAAGCATCCGCATTTGGCAGTCCTCCACCATCTCGCACGGTCACCGCATTTAACCTCTGCAGATCTTGCACCCATCGCAGCGTCCCGTTAGGCTTAATGAAGCAAAACCACGGGGACGCATACGGTCCACTAGAATAGTCGGCGACATGTGTACTTATCTTGCCGTCGAGGTAGTCCACCACCTTCTTTTCCTCATCAGGGTTAGGATATCGCGCCCCTCTCATGTTCCAAGGCTCGTGTGGCACGGTGTGGATGCGAATCATAGGTATCTTGTCCACATCCAATGTGCCACGCTCCTCGTCGCTAAACGCATAGGCGCGATGCCTCCTCTTCATTAATTTCACCATCAATGTTCGCTCTTGAGGCAGTAGGAAGTCGGGTTCCCCTATAATCAACTCCTCCTCGTTCTCGTCGTTGATACGACATGGCCCTGCTAAAGTACTCTCCCTCATTCGCCGTATTAGCCCTCGTTCTCTTTTGTAATATGCTTCCTCGTCTTCTGTAACGAGGACGGGAACCGGGCGGCACTTCTTGTCTACCGTCTTGTACCGCCTTTGGGAACCCTGCTTGAGCCGTCCCCTAAAAAAGGCCGACTCACAGATTGTGTTTGTGTTGATGCGGGGTGCCCTCCGCTGCCTGGGAGCCGATATACCAACTCCAACCTTCCTGCCTCGGGGCATTCGAGAACTTGCTCCCTCAAGGCCTGGATGGCATCCGGATCTGCCATCTCATGCGCGGCCACCAGGTCCATGGCCTTCCCAACATCTGACAGGCTGAGGGAAAATACTTTCACCCTCTCTCCTGCTTCGGGCTTTGCCCGGAGCCTCCGACGCTCCCCTTCCGACTCCTCGATTGTGAATGATCCTGGATTGGGCCGGTTCCTTATACTCCTTGGCCCGGTGTTTCTGCAGGTAATTATTTCGTAATTCCCGCAGGCAGGATCGCATAAGAGAAGAATTAGAGTCCCGTCATGTTTGTTGAACATCACAGTCTCCGTCCTGCTTAGGAATGACCTCCCCAGGAGGATTCCATAGTCCACGTCCGGCATTATGAAAAAGCATGCCCTGGCCTTTACCTTTCCAACCTCGATAAGCACATTCGAGGCTGTCCCACAAAAAACGGCCTTGCAGCTGGCTCCGTGCAGAATACCGCAGTCAGAACGGTCTATATCCAGCCTGAATCTGATTGCGTCCACCTCCCGAATGATGTTCATTTCGGCCCCGGTGTCCACCATTGCCGCACACTTGGAACCCTTCACCACCAAATCCACCGTGCCGCAGGCTACACACTTCCAGTCCATTTTCGTCCCCGACTCTGCCCACTCAGCCTCCTTGGGCAGGATCGTACCCAGATGGACATTGGGTATCAGGCGCCGCGACAATCTCCCCTTCAGTTCATTGCGGAGTCGCGGGGCTGACGCTAGGATTTCCTTCAGGGTCATGAGGTCATTATGCCCTTCCAGCAGCCTGTCAATTACTCTCTCTACGTCAAATCCCTCTTCCAACCGAACCGCGTATTTCTTCTTTTTTGGTGGTCTGTCATATATGACCGGTTCGGCCTCTCCCCTGGTTCTTTTTTTTCTTGCCCGCTGTTCCGCTCTCTGATCCTCCTCTCTGCGCAGCTTCTCGTCCTCTTCCTCTTCATCATCATCGTCCTCTACTTCCACAGCCTCTTTCCTTCTCCCTGATTCGGGTTCTCTCCTCGGAGGCTCTTGGCTGGCACTGGCCTTGGCTTGATTCCTCGTCGCGCTGCCTGTGTCAGCCGGGCCTGCGGAGTGAGGGGTCTTCCCCTCATCCCCGATTGTGGGCACGACCCCACCACATTTACTCCGGGTCGCTTTGGTGCTGACTCCGGGCCGGAGTCATAGAGGAACACTTTGGGGATGTTAGACTTCCATCCCTTTACTTCCTCACAGAGGCCCACCAGCTTCCGTTGGTACCTCCCCATCTTATCCAGCAGGTCCTCCATCTTCCCAAATAAGACGCACGGAGGCTCCATTCTTTCCTCCTCATCCTCATCATCTGACTCGATGATTATGGGCTCTTCCGTCTTACTTCCTCCTCGTAGCCCCTTAGCCACTTCCTTATCGCTCTCCACTTCCTCCATCCCAATCGGTGGTTCCTCCTTTTCCTGCCATAGCCTGAACATGGCAGGGGGTAATGGCCCAGCTGCCGCCCTTCGCTGGGCTTCCGCCCTCACCCCTCCAAGCCTTCTGTTAACGGCCTCCCCAAACTGATCGTAGATATTCCCATCCATAGTGGAGGAAATCAGCCCGCTCCTCTCATCTTCCCGTCTTATGTTACAGAACCTTATAGTATGGCCTTGTTGGCCACAATGTTGACAAATGGCCGTCCTCCAATCAAAACGGGGTCTTCCATACCCCTGACTTCCCTGATCCCCCTGGCCTTGGTACCCCTGGCCTTGGTACCCGCGGCCTTGGTACCCCTGGCCTTGACTCCCTTGGCCTTGGTACCCCTGACCTTGATTCCCCTGGCCTTGGTACCCCTGGCCTTGACCATTCCATTGCCTCCCTCTTCCGCGGCCATTCCTACCTCGCCCCCTTCCTCCACCCCTCTCTCCGTTGCCTTGATTGCCTTGCCCCTGGTTCCCACCTCCCGCCACACTGCCCTGTGAACTAGGAGCAGGTGACGACGGCGGGGCCACAGGCTGGGCCTGGGCTGCGGGGTAGATGAGCGGTGGCATACTTGTTTGCGGTCCGGCTACTGGCGGTGGACTTCCCCATGGCACAATTGCATTGATCACCGGCCAGGGCCACTGTCCGTAGGAGGGCGCCCCACCTTGCGAGGGGCCCGTACTAGATGATGGAGCCGCCACATTTAAAGGGGCTGCTACCTGGGCCTGAGGCGCCTGCGCTTTTCCTGATCCCTGTCCGCCCTGCGCCAAATTACGCACTTTGCGCTGGACCTTTGTCAGGTGCTGCGGCACCGGCTCTTCCTCTTCCCAGAGCTCCTCCTGAACAGCCTCCTCTATCACTGGCTTCTTTCCTTTCACTTTGACAGCCGTCACTACCCTCCTTTGCACCACCGGCTTTGTCGCATACCCTAGCTGTGCCAATACGTCTGTAACACTCCTTGTTACCCCCGGGGTCCGAGAAGCGGTCGCATCTCTTTCCTTTCTCTTCTGCCTTTGCAGGCGTACCTGACGTTGCTCGACCTGGTCCAAACACCCCACTTCCACCCCTCTATCAATGGTGGCCCAAGTGAGCTCGGTGCTACCTCCTCCATGTCTCGTCAACTCGACGGCCTCCGATGCCGTGAGTAGCCCCAGGAAGATGGCGCACTGTGCTTCCTCTGAAATCCCATGGACCTTCCGCGCCTTCTTCTTAAATTTTTGAACAAAGGCCCCTATCGTCGTAAAATCCTCTTTGTTCATCGCCTCAAGGTCCGCGGTAGTCAACAACCCGTCTCCCAAGCGGTATTTCCTCTGTATCCCCTCCTTGAACCTCTCCTAGCTACCTTGGGCTGCATCTATGACTTTCTTCACCTCTTGGTGGTAGCTGTGGAGGACATACTGAAGGATGCGTTGAAACTTCACAATATCCAACCGCCCGACCAAAGCTTGTTCCACCCGCTCCAGCCATTCCGAGACTCTTTCCCCACAAAAATGTAAAGTATCGACCTTTAGGATATTGCTCGGATTCCTTTCATGCCGGTCGATGGCCGCGATAAGGTCATCGAGTGTCAGGCCCTTCTTGGGTGCACCCGATGCGCCGCCAGTTTCAGGCATCTTGGCAGCCTCTTATTTTCAAGCTTCCTTATAAGAGAAAAGACAAGCACATTCCCTTATTCAACATTATACCTTGACCGGTCTATTCCATCAGTCCTACCTAGCCCTTAGTACTTACTTTACCCAAATGTTAACACGATCGTCCCTCATACTTCCTCTACTTGGGTAGATAAATTTCCTCACCTATACTTAGTCATTCATATATTCCTTCATTACCTTCTCATCACTCCTTTATGCCTTTTCTTATTCACTTCTCATACCCGTATGTCGTTCCACCAGGGACAACGGTAGGCTTTCCGCTATCCCCGGCAACGGCGCCACCTTTCGGGCGCAATCGGTCCGGCATCGTACGGGGGCAGCACGGGACCCTCTCGGCCGCGTCATGCAGGAATTGGTTTATGATCCTTCGTCACAATATACATGGAGCTTCCACAAGCCGCTCCGGCCGAGTGCGCCAGCCATACCTCTCGCGAGCCCCTACGACAGGATAGGGCCTACGCGAGGCACGACTTACCTACACCTT